TCGTTCCCATTCCTCCCCATCCCTCCCCGCTCCAGGCAAGTGTGCGCGAGGCGGTTGCGTCTCTGGCCGCGAGATCCTGCCAGTGCATACCTACATGTACGACCACCCTTCGGGTGATAAGGAGGTTGTGTGTGTGGTGGTGGGGGGAGGAAGGGGGACCATCTGGAGCTACAACATAGCATTGCATCGCAAAGCAGAGCATAGCATAGCATCGCACAGCACAGCATAGACGAGCATCGCGTAGCAAAGCATAGCATAGCATCGCATAGCACGTCATAGCATCGCATCGCATTGCATAGCATCGCGTAGCATATACTACCATAGTCGCAATCATGGCACAGTATGGGTAGCATAGCATAGCATAGGCATCGCATCGCAACAGCATAGTATTTCGCATCGCATCAACCGACATAGCTTAGCCTCGCATTGATAACATAGCGTACTCTGCGGGCCGAACGTACTATGGCAGAAAGTCCGGCCAACGGCAGCTCTCGCCTCGGCGGGGGCAGCACACCGCTAGCGTCACCTGCACGCGTGGCCAGTTTAAGTTTAGAGCGTAATCGTGCGATGTCTCAGCAGAAAAAACCGGCTTTCTTTTTTGGTTAGATGGGGCGGGTTTGGGACGACATGGGCGAATCCAACGCACGTTCGGGCCGCGGCGGCCGCCCGGGACGTCAGGGCACCCAACAAGCTGCGCGGCTCGCCGTCGACGGCGGGGCGGCGGCTGCGGGAGAGCAGCCCGAGCGAGGAGGGCCCTCCCCCACGAAGCGATGCCCTGCAGATTTGGCCAGTTTGATTGCCGCCAGTTTCTGTCGAACGCGTGCGGAACAAGGGTCTGACGGTGATATCGTTGTGCAGGCAGTTGCACGTCTCGTGGAGGACGTTGCGGCGTTTATTTCCATTTTCTGCGTCGTGAATTCTTGTTTTCCGTGTCGCGCCTCCGTCGTCTACTCATTCCCTCCTCTTCCTCCTCCTCCTCCTCTCTCTTCCTCCTTTCCCATATCACGATCAGAATCATCGCGATGTGACAGGCATAGCACTTGGGCACTACAAGGGGATGCCGCCAGGGGATAGGTCACTATCCGGTTCGTGCCCAGATTGTGGGGATGTCTCCAGGTTTCGCTGTTCACGGATGTAGGCGCGTCTTTTTCAGGGCCGCGTGGTGTTCGCGATGTCGCAACAAACGTTGTTGGGCGCCACGGGGAGCGACCACGGGGTGGGACATTTGCCCACTTGCGGTCAGCATTCGGGGATATCTCACGCGAGACGTTGGCTTTTTGAGGTGGGTGTGCTTTTTTTCAGGGCCGCCACGAAGGACGCGAATACTCGGATCAGTCCCGGCAGTCGCCGCGGTACTGGGAAGACCGTCGGATCGATTATTTCGTTGTCGATTTTTTTTGGCGCGTACCGTTCAAACTTTCAGGGTGGCCCAGTGTTGGCAAATTTTGCGCGGTGGTTGCACGACGAAGGTGGGCGCACCATAGAACCCTTCACGACAGCCCATCGTTGTAAAGATTTGTTGTCGGGGGCCTTGGACGCTCTGGGTCGTCTAGGCCTTGGGTAGGCGTAGAGTGCGTGAGGGGTGTGCCGAAATCGGGCCCATTGAGCCGTCTTGAGAGTTACGTAGCTGTTTCTTATGTCTTGTTTCGCCGACCGGCGCGGGCCCCCGCTCCCTCCCCCCCAAAGACCAGATTTTGGTTGCTTAAAGCGGCTGCTTCAAGCGGGTGGATTAAGCACTGGGGCCCGCCCCTCACCTCCCCCCAGTGGACACACGAGCTGCTGCTGTGCGTGCGTGAGTTGTTTTCTCGAGGCGCCCCTCTGGAAATGAAACAAGGGTATGTAGGCAGCTGAAGGGGGATCATGCGGAATCCTTTTTCGACCTGCGGCCAGCTGTGTGTTTCATGGTTGCACGCCGAGTGGAACACGTCCACCGCGTCGACAACGAACATACTTTTTCGCGTTGCATGCCGAGTGGAATTCGTCCACCGCGCCCGCAACTGCTCCTCTGCCGCGTGGAATGTGATCCCATTAGTCCGCCAAAAAGGGTGTGGAAAGGAAAGGGATTGAGAGGGTTTGCTGAGAGGAGAATGCAGGATTAAGGTCGACTGGGGCTCATGGCGTGCATCCGTGGGGGCATAGAGGGATGGTGCGGTTTGCTGATTGATCATGATTGATAGACGTCTGTCTGCTCTCCGATGCTGCGAACCCTAAACCGTCGCCGCATCTTGCTAGAACCAAAGCGCGCGCGCAGCGCGCGCGTGGTTCTAGTATATATACATATAAAGATACACGCCCCCCCATCCCCCCTGGGCCCCGACCCCCACTTCTGGGACAACTTTCGGAAAATCCCTGGTACCGCCCCCCCAGGGCTCCAAGGGAAGCCCCCAAACGCCCCAGGACGGCTCACGACGCCCCCAAATAGCCCCCAGAACGCAAAATAATAGCCCAAGAATGCCTTCCGACGGCTTTCCAGGCTCTCAGGATCGCCGAAGAGTTAACTGCAAGGCCTCCAAGAGGCCCCAAGAGACGTCCGAGAGACGTCCCGAGAGGGCCCGAAGGGCCCAACATCGTTGATTTTCATATAAGCTTCCTAAAAACGAAGCTAAACCAATGGGGTCCACAAGTGTCGAGGTCCAATGCTCGTCGCTTACCACGGGGGGCGGCAGCTACGTAAGGTCGGAAGCGTACGTCTCGTCTCTATCATTGTTTTGGCGTTCTTGGGCACTTTCGGGCGTCTCTATTCTCAGAAGCAGAAGGAAGGCGATACCACTGAGGAGCGCGCACTTGTCGTTACTTCGAACGACATCGCCACCAACGCCAAACCCGACGTTTGGTAAACCCGATTGTAGGTCCCAACCGCTTGAGGCCGCCCTCCACCAAACATAGTTGCAACGCCTGCTTTGACCTTCCTTCCGACGGCTACCTCGCCTTCCGCTGACCGTTGGGTCAATTTCGACTCTTGCCCCTTCCACTCCATTATTCCCCCCTCATGGCATCTTCTCTTCCTTGCAGGGCCGCGCCCATTTGGGACCCCAGAGTGCAATCCAAGCCACATATCAGCACTGGAACAAGTATTGTTCTTTTGATATGATGTTAGATACGCTTCCCATCGATATCCCACTGGACGATAGTACAGACATCATGGCACTACCTACGCATGTCCTTGCTACTGGACCGGGAAAATATACCAACCAGTTGTCAGAGACCGATGTCTACGACGATTCGGGCGGGGCTGGTCTGGGCTGGTGGTGGGGGGGGGGGCGGAGGTAGTGGTGGAGGGCGAAGCACAAGAGCTCGCATGAGCACAAGCTTCTGGAGATCGCGCGGGCAGACGTTCCCCCCTTCGGCCAGCGCCTTGGCTTGTTTTTGTTGCAACCTTTGGTCATGAGCTTCGGCCCACGTGATGCTTGGAGCAGTTTAGAGCCAGCATCTTCTTTGCAGACGGTTTACTGTTCACGTATTTTCAACCGGGCCACATCGCAGCGGTAGCGGTCAGGAGCGAGCCTGTGTGGTTGGAACCATCGCCGCTACCTTTGACCCATCAGCGTTGCGTTCTGCACGCAGATCTCGGACTTTCTCCAGTAATTCGTCGCCCAGTCGAAATGAGAAACATAAACATCGTTGATTACCATTGTATTCCTTCCAGAGTTTTTGACCTTCTCGCGTTTTGGAGCTTCCAGCGCTCCAAGGAAGCCGAAGAGGCTCCCAAGACCGCCCCAAGACTGCCGAAGAGGCCCCCAAGAGAGCCCAAGAAGGTCGCAGAGAGCCTCAAGATCACCCAAGAGGCGCCCAAGATGGCTCAAGAGCGCCCGGGGACCGCTCAAAATGGGCCCAAGGGCGGGAGCAGGAGGCCCCCAGAGGCCCCCGAGAAGCCTCCAGGATCCCCCAGAGGCCTCCAACAAATCCCAGACCCATGAGAGTCACCCAAAAAGGCCCCACGAGGCCTGAAAACTAGCCCAAGATCGCTCCGAGAGACGTCCCGAGAGAGCCCGAAAGATACCAGAATCGTTGATTTGCATGGGTTGTTTCAAGGTGTTTGGCCTTCTCGCGTTTTCAAGCTTCCAACGTTCCAAAACAGCCGAAGAGGCCCCCAAGACCGCCCCAAGACGGCCGAAGAAGAGACCCCCAAGAGGGCCCAAGACGACCCCAAAAGCTCAAGACTGCCCAAGGGGCGCCCAAGACGGCCCCAGGACAGGCCCAAGATGGGCCCGAGAGCGGGAGCAGGAGGCCCCAAGAGGCCCCCGAGAGGCCTGCAGGACCCCCCAGAGGCCCCCAACAAACCCCAGACCCCTGAGAGGCCCAAGAAAAAAACCCACGAGACATCAAAAACGGCCCTGGAGAGGCCTCAAAATTGCCGTCCAGGAACCCCCTGCAGGCCTCTTAGGCTACCCGATGTTTGTGCACTACATGGTAGGAGACCCGATCTGAAAAAAGGGAATTCCAGCGATCCCCTTTTTTTGAACTTCACCCCGAGCCCCATCAAGACGTCGGGGTCACAATTCGAAGATTTGTCGGGAATGCTGTTGAACTCTCTGGTCCGCCGTGGTCTCGCCGCGCTCGCGCCCGCGGGCGCCTCGTGGGCGCCCCACGCTCTGGGTGGGTCCACCGAGTTTTCGCCACGTTCGCGCCCGTGCCACCTCGTGGGCGCTCGTCGGCGCCCCGTGCCCTGGGCAGGGCAGCATGGCGTGCCCAGCATGGCCTGCACCGCATGGTTTGCACCGCACAGCTTGCGCAACATGGCTCACGCCACACAGCTCACACCGCACAGATTGCACAGCACAGCCGACGCCACATAGCTCACACCGCTTAGCTTTCGCAACCCTAGCTCACACCACACAGCTTACGCTACACAGACCGCACAACGTACATCCACACATCCTGCACCGTATGCATGTCCACCACCACAGTGCAACACCTGACTGTTTGGGGTCCGCCCTGGCAAACAGTATGATCCTGCCATGGAGCTCTGGGAGCGCATCTGTGCTGGGAGGGGGGCGCAGGCGCACGCGATGACGAAGTCCAACCGCTGGAAGGCGAGGTCGTCTGCGCCGGCGGAGCAGGCGCCAGCCAGCCCCAACCGCGACGCGCCCTCGGTGGGCCCCTCGCCGCCAGGGCCGCCTGCTGGTGCGCCTGTGGCAGCAGGCCCCTCGCCGCCAGGGCCGCCTGCTGGTGCGCCTGTGGCAACAGACTCGTCGCCGCCAGGGCCGCCTGCTGGTGCGCCTGTGGCAGCAGACTCGTCGCCACCAGGGTCGCCTGCTGGTGCGCCTGTGGCAGCAGGCCCCTCGCCACCAGGGCCGCCTGCTGGTGCGCCTGTGGCGGCAGACTCGTCGCCAACGGGGCCGCCTGCTGGTCCCCCTGTTGCAGCAGGCCCCTCGCCACCGGGGCCGCCTGCTGGTGTTCCACGACCGTCGATGCCTTATGTGTGTTTGTCGTGTCTGCGCAGATCGGCTCGTTCTCTTCTGGCTTTACTGTCACAGCACTGGCGACCTCCTGGCATCCTGATCTGTGGATCGGGACGGTATTGTCTATCGTGGAGCAGAGGTTGGCGAATCGATGGGCGCTCACGGTCGGGCCGATCGGTCGAATAATCTAGACTCCTCGCGTAGACACGCTGGCCCATGCAGAAACGATGTCCAGGCGGTATGCCCTGATCAGGGATGTGGAGGAGCATGGAGTGTAATAAAGGGCAGGGGAGGTTGTCATACACCAAGAGGGGGAGGCTGGATGAGGAATCGGAGGAGGATGAGGAGGGGGATGGGGGGAGGAGGGAGGAGTGATGAGGGAGGAGGCGTAATAGGTGGATGAGGAAGAGCAGGAGGAGGAGGAGCAGGAGGAGGAGGAGGAGGAGAGGGGCGAGGAGAAAGGCCAGAAGCCATTTGGATGCCCCTCGGTGTCTCTTCGGATGTCTCTTGAGAGCTTCTTGGGGTCCTCTTGGGGCGTCTTCGGTGCCTCTTGGCGGGGGCCTCGTGGAGCATATTGGATGCTTGGGGGAAGGAAGCCTATTGGGGCCTGTTGGGGGTCTCTTGGGAGCCTCTTGTGGCCTCTCGGGGCCTCCTTAGAAGTTCGATCTGAGAAGTGGGGTTCCGTAACTAGCCCCCCCCCGGAGGCCTACATGGGCTCACAACCTAATTAGCATGAATGATTTGTGCTTTCAAGCTGATACCTTCTGGACTCTCTCGACTGGACCGTGCACAACACCCTAATTCTATGAGGGTCCCCACGGGCGAATGCCAATGATCATAATTTGAATCATAATGTATGACCGTGCACATGCCCAACCCCATAGCATATTGAAGAGGGCGGGGTCGGGTTCAATTAGCATCGCCACTATTGAGCCTCCAAAGTCGTCTCCAGTGGCTCTCTTGGGGCGTTATTGGGGCGCTCTTGGGCTCTCGTGAGGCCGTCGTGGGGCCATCTTGGGCCCCTCTTAGGTCTCTCTTGGCCGTGGTGCCATCTTGAGGCCTCGGGAGGCCGTCGGAAGCGAAACGGCGAGAAGGCTAAGCTCGTTGAATCTCCTTAGGTGTTTGAAGGACGTTGGCCTCTCGGACTTGTCCTGCGGGGGGCGCAAGCCCATTTGGACCCGTCTTGGATATGCCTCGGGCCCTCATTGAGCATGTTGCAAGCCATCCTGAGGTATCTTGAACCGTCTTAGGCCCAACACATGGTTGACTCGCCATACCGCCAACCCAATGAGCAGCACATCGACGGCGGCAGCGAGACATTACCACCATTACTGAGAACCCGCAGCAGGACAAACAGGCCAGACCTACGCAGTCGCCGCCGCCCCCGTCCAGACCCAGAGGGACGGGGTATGGGGGAGGGGTCAAGGCACCTCCTGCTCACAAGGCGCACGCCGTCTCGCTCACGCCCACCTGCTCTCCCAACACGTACGCAGCAATCGATTGTGCCCGTTTGCTGCCAGCGCCACGCGGTCGCAAAGCGCCCGCGCAGGCTCCCGATTTGGAAGCACGGTGCAATACGCGGAGGAGGAGGAGGGAGGAGGAGGGAGGAGGAGGGAGGAGGAGGGAGGAGGAGGGAGGAGGGGGGAGGAGGGAGGAGGAGGGAGGAGGGCAGGCAGGCTGAGGAAGGAGGAGGAAGGAGGGAGGAGGAGCAGGCATCGAGTGCCCACCCCGCCGTCCCTGTCAGAGGCTAATGCAGCATGGTCGCGGGGCGCCGTTCGCAGGGCTCCAGATTTGGAGGCATGTGCAATTACTGCTTCTTGGCAGGATGGCTGCTCTCCTCGAGTGCTCCCTCCTCCTCTCCTCCTCCTCCTACCTCCTCCTCTCCTCCCCCTCCTCCTCCTCCTCCTCCTCCTCCTCCCCACTCCTCCTCCTTCCTCCTCCTCCTCTTCCCCTCCTCCTCCTCCTCCTCCTCCTCCTGGCTTGCGCGCGGCAGTCAAGATGACCCCCCCCTCCCCCGCCGTCCCTATCAGCTATTCTGGCGGCAGGACCCTACATGAGAATCTCGCAAACTAGTGCGGAAGAAATCTTCATCGTCGCCCTCGTGACAAAGGGGCTCTCTTCGCGTTTAGCATGTGCTGGTCACTGTCGACGCTTACACGCCTGATTGAGGATGGTTGCCTCGGATTGGAAGGGACACTCGACAAAGGAACGATGCTTCCGCGCAGGACTCTCTCAAGATTCAGACCCCCAGGCGTCACCAAACCTGTGCTTTCACATGAGAGCCGGATGGCCGCCCCGGATGAATAACATGAAGCGGGGGACCCGCAGGGGGGTGGCGGGGGGGGGGGGCTCTCGCTCGAGACTTCCTCGCGATTCACTCACAGGCGAGCGCCCGAGGCATCCGTTGCACATGTGCAGGAACGAGGCTCTCGCTCGGGACCTCCTCCGGATTCAGGCTCTCCGTATCCCGATGGCCGCCTTGGATTTCCAACCTGAGGTGGGGACCCCATGGGGAGGGGGCTCCCGCTCACGACTTCCTCGCGATTCATTGACAGACGAGTGAGCGCCCAAGGCGTTTTTGAAGTTTGTTCGGGAACGGGGCTCCCCCCCGAGAGGTCCTCGCGATTCAGCTTCCAGGTGTCACCAATTTGTTTTTTTGTTTTTTGCATTGTATTCCGATGGTCGCCTCGGATTACCAACATGACCAGCGGACCCCATTGGGAGGAGCTTCCGCTCGAGACTTCCTCGCAGTTCACTCACACACAAGTGAGCGCATGATCTAGATTTTGGTACAAAGCGCATTCTGCATGGTGTTTGCAAGGGGTGATGGGGGGCCACAGAGCACGCAATATGCCAGCACCCCCGCCGTCCCTGCCAGAAACAATGCAAAGTGATCGCGGGGCGTCCGCGCATGATCCAGGTGTTGGTGCAAAGGACAATTTGATATGTACCTAACAGCGAAGACTGATAGGTTTCTAATGGTCTCAAAAGAAAGCATCATGACTCCCCAGGGGGGTCCGGGCAGATGCCGGACGGGTGCCGGGGAGAATCCGCGGAAGTCGTTTTGAGCAAACAGTTACACACTTCGTGGTCTTCGAGGTCCCAGAACTCCATTCCTGGGCATGTTTTTGAATGCCCGGAGCCAACTGTAGGCCACTTCGTGGTCTTCGAATTCCCAGAACTCCATTCCTGGGCATGATTTTGAATGCTCGGAACCAACTGTAGGCCACTTCGTGGTCTTCGAGTTCCCAGAATTCCATTCCTGGACATGATTTTGAATGCCCGGAGCCAACCGTAGGCCACTTCGTGGTCTTCGAATTCCCCAAATTCCATTCTTGGGCATGATTTTGAATGCTCGGAGCCAACTGTAGGCCACTTCGTGGTCTTCGAATTCCCAAAATTCCATTCCTGGGCATGATTTTGAATGCTGAGGCAGGCTGAGGCTGAGGCTGATGCAGGCTGAGGCTGAGGCAGGCTGAGGCTGAGGCCGAGGCTGAAGGCAGACTGAGGCTGAGGCTGAAGCAGGCTGAGGCTGAGCAGGCTGAGGCTGAGGCTGAGGCTGAGGCAGGCTGATGCTGAGGCAGGCTGAGGCTGAGGCTGAGGCTGATGCAGGCTGAGGCTGAGGCAGGCGGAGGCTGAAGCCGAGGCTGCAGGCAGACTGAGGCTGAGGCTGAAGCAGGCTGAGGCTGAGGCTGAGCAGGCTGAGGCTGAGGCTGAGGCAGGCTGATGCTGAGGCCGAGGCTGAGGCTGAGGCTGAGGCTGATGCAGGCTGAGGCTGAGGCAGGCTGAGGCTGCTGCCGAGGGTGAAGGCAGACGAGGATGTGGCTGAAGCCGGCTGAGAAGCTGAGGCTGAGGCTGGCTGAGGCTGAGGCTGATTCAGGCTGATGCTTGAGCAGGTAGGCTGGGCTGAGCCCCTGTTTTTTCTTTTGGGGCTGATGCAGGCTGAGGTGAGGCAGGCTGAGGCTGAGGCCGAGCTGAAAGCATATTGAAGGCTGAGGCTGAGCAGGCCGAACTGGCGGCAGAGGCCAAGCTGAGCTCAGGCTGAGGCTAGGCTGAGGCTGAGGCAGGATGACTGAGCTGAGCTGATGCAGGCGAGCTGAGGCAGGCCTGAGGCTGGGCCGAGGCTGAAGGCAACTGAGGCTGAGGCTGAGTCAGGCCGAGGCAGAGGCTGAGGCAGGCTGATGCTGAGGCAGGCTGAGGCTGAGGCTGAGGCTGATGCAGGCTGAGGCTGAGGCGGCCTGAGGCTGAGGCCGAGGCCGAAGGCAGACTGAGGCTGAGGCTGAAGCAGGCTGAGGCTGAGGCTGAGGCAGGCTGATGCTGAGGCAGGCTGAGGCTGAGGCTGAGGCTCATGCAGGCTGAGGCTGAGGCAGGCTGAGGCTGAGGCCAAGGCTGAAGGCAGACTGAGGCTTTGGCTGAAGCAGGCTGAGGCTGAGGCTGAGGCTGAGGCAGGCTGAGCCGAGGCCGAGGCTGAAGGCAGACTGAGGCCGATGCTGAAAGCAGGCTGAGGGTGAGCTGAGGCAGGCTGAGGCTGAGGCTGAAGCCGGCTGATGCTGAGGCAGGCTGAGCCTGAGGCTGAAGGCGCGAGGCTGAGGCTAGGCTGGAGGCTGAGGCTGAGGCTGAGGGCGACGAGGCTGAGGCTGAAGCAGGCTGAGGCTGAGGCAGATTCAGGCTGAGGCTGAGGCTGAGGCATGCTGATGCTGAGGCCGGCTGGCTGAAGGCTGAGGCTGATGCAGGCTGATGCTGGCAGGCTGAGGCTAGGCCGAGGCTGAAGGCAGACCTGAGCTGATGCTGAAGCGGGCCGAGGCTGAGCCTGAGGCCTGAGGTCAGGCTCATGATCTGAGGCTGAGGCCGGGCAAGCCGAGGCGCTGATGCTGAGGCTGGCTGAGGCTGAGGCTGAGGCTGAGGCAGGCTGAGGCTGAGGCTGAGGCTGAGGCTGAGGCTGAGGCTGAGGCTGAAGCAGGGGCTGAGGCTGAGGCTGAGGCGGAGGCTGATGCAGGCTGATGCTGAGGCAGGCTGAGGCTGAGGCTGAAGCAGGCTGAGGCGAGGCTGAGGCAGGCTGAGGCTGAGGCTGAGGCATGCTGATGCTGAGGCTGAGGCTGATGCAGGCTGAGGCTGAGGCAGGCTGAGGCTGAGGCCGAGGCTGAGGCTGAGGCGGGCTGAGCTGAGGCTGAGGCTGAAGCAGACTGAGGCTGAGGCTGAGGCAGGCTGAGGCTGAGGCTGAGGCAGGCTGATGCTGAGGCAGGCTGAGGCTGAGGCTGAGGCTGATGCAGGCTGAGGCTGAGGCAGGCTGAGGCTGAGGCCGAGGCTGAAGGCAGACTGAGGCTGAGGCTGAAGCAGGCTGAGGCTGAGGCTGAGGCAGGCTGAGGTTGAGGCTGTGACTGCGACTGCCGTTGCCACTGCGACTGTCATCGCGAATGCGACTGCGACTGCGAGAACAGCAGAATTCTACAACTGGATTCTCATCTGAATCGTAAGGGGAATGCTTCCAGATATGCTCCTACACATCGCTGTTAGGTGGCTTTGCCGGGATAATTGATTTCCTGGGATGGCGGGGGGGGACCCGCATGGTCCTGGGTTCTTCGCCAGTCGGATGGAGGAGGGTGTGCACTAATGAGGAGCAGTGATGACCCTCCACACGACGGGGAAGAGTGGAATCGGAAGAGGAAACGAACTAAACCACTCACGCCCCGAGGCCTGATGACATTCTCTGCCAACGGAATGATCCGTCTTTTCGGGCGTGTCGGGCCAGTCCGATCGGCGGCTGGAACAGGATCGGGACCGGGCAGCTTGGGTCGGAGATCCTTCCTGAGGCCCCCGCCCGGCATGCGCTCCAGCATCGGCGCTTCGATGGCCGATGCCCTGTCGGATGGCAGCCCGCGCCACTGCAGGGGCGGTCAAGCCGCGGAGGAGCCCGGCCCCGACAGCAGCAGCTGGCGAGCGCCGCCAACGCCCGGCCTTGGCCTCGCGGCGCCCTTCAAGGCGGCGCCGCCGCTGGGACCCGGCGCCTGCCCCGGCGGCTGCCCCGCGCCGCTCGGGCAGGGCAGCGATGCGACCACCAAGGCGCCGCCGCCGCTCGGGCCTGGCGGCGGCGTGCCCCTCCGCGGCCAGCCCGGGCCGCCGCCGCCGCCGCCGGGGCCAGGCTCCAAGGCGCCGCCGCCAGGCTTCAAGGCGCCGCCGCCGGGGCCCGGCGGCGAAGGGCCCGGCCATGCCTGGTCCGTCGGCGCCCGCCCGCTGCCGCCTCAGCCCGGCGACGACGGGCACAGCGCTCTGCGTGGCGTCGGTGGAGTGCCTCCGCCGGCAGCCAGCGGTCCGAGTGCGGACGGGCCTGCTGGCGCACCGGTTCCTGCTGGGCCAGTCCTGCCGCCCAAGCCTGGCTGCGATGGTCCCTCGCCGAGCCGCGCCACAAAGGCCCCGCCACCGCCAGGGCCTGGTGGTGGCAAGCCTGGCACATTGGCAGCGAGTCAACATCGAAATGCAGGCCATGCTGGTGATGCAGTGGTTTCTGGCCGGTTCGACATCGCGGTAAAGGCCATGCTGGCGCGACCTCAGAAACCATATTCCTTCAGCTCACTGCAGCCGAATCTGCGCGGTGCCGCTGTCCCTTCGCCAGCGGCAACCACAACAGGCGCCGTGCAACAGCAGGTTGAGCCACGCCCCCCACTCCCTCCTGTGTCTTCCAACGCACCAGCGACGGCAAGCAGATTGACGGTCGCGTCCTCAGAAATCCTTGATCTTTGATCCGTAGTTCGGGGCTGCTTCGACGGATCGTGGATGGGTGACCGATCGGCTGGGTCCTCTTCCTACGTTGTGTCCGAAGGTCTGGGCAGTATTATCGGGTTTGCAGGATCGAGATTGGGAGCAGAGCCTAGATCGCACGAGTGCGTCTAAGGTAAAATGGTTTCCGCTGCCAGTGCCGCACGGAGACTTACGGCTCTGCCTGCAGTGGGATGGCGATTTGGAGTCGGAGCAGCTTCAGTATGCGTCCCACCTGGTCGAAGAGATCATTGGGTGCGATACGAGCGCCGTCGAGGAAGGCGAGCATGCGGACTGTCACCTCGAGGAGTACTTGATGACACCGGTGATGTCCGCCGCGCCCCCACGAACCAGCTTGTACGCGGGCACTGGGCGACTGGAAACACCCTCTAACCCAGACGCCCTTTGGCCCCGAAGAACTTACACGAGAACGCGCGAGAAGACGCGGCAACATGCGCCACACCCTGAAGTATGCCAGAATTTTGGGCCCAGCCCCTCCGCAATCGTGCGCTCAGGACTGAGGACGGGGGGCCGAAGGGACCTGAGGGCACGCCACTCCCGCCACACTCCCTCCAAACCGGACCCCCAGAATCCCTCCTCCTCCTCCTCCTCCTCCTCCTCCCCCTCCTCCTCCCCCCCTCCTCCTCCCCCTCCTCCTCCTCCTTCTCCTCCTCCTCCTCCTCCTCCTCTTCCTCCTCCTCCTCCTCCTCCTTCTCATCCTCCTCCTCCTCCTCCTCCTCCTCCTCCTCCTCCTCCTCCTCCTCCTCCCCCTCCTCCTCCTCCTCCTCCTCCTCCTCCTCCTCCTCCTCCTCCTGGTTCCCTGTGCTCCACGAACCTCCAGGACGCCCCTGCAGAGCGTTCCCCGGCGCTTCCCGATGGCCTCGACGCCCATGCTGCGCATACCCGCCCCCAAGGGACCAAATGATTGAAACCCATAATGTGTTCGTGCGAGTTTGGCGTGCTCGTCTTTTCGGTCACCATGACGTCCAAGACGGCCCAAGAGGCCTACAAGATCACGACAAATCGGCCGAACAGGGCTCCGAGAGCGGCTCAGTACAGTCCACGATGGACAGAACACGCCTCTACAAGGGCCTCAGACGGGCCCAATGCGGCCCAATATGGCCCCAAGCCGGCCCAATCTTGTTCCCAGCTGGCCCCATGACGACCCTGAGCGATCCCGAAGGCGGCCCAGAGCACCACCACAAAATGGCACAAGGGGGCCCCCAGATGGCTCAAGAAGCTTCCACAACGGCTCCGAAACAGCCCCCCAAGCCCCAAGACGACCCCACGGCGCCAAGACGACGCAAGAGGACCCTGGGACGGCCCCGGGACGGCTCACGAGGGCCAACATACAGCACTTCGGAAAAAACAGCGTTTCTGTCCTCCGCGCCGTCGCCTGCCCCATCCGACTCGGGATTCGAATCCAGCTGCCAAAGACAGGAGCGCGAAGATAAACAGGAGCACGATAATTGAGCGTGGGGGCGGAGTAGAGGCGGAAGCGCCATGGGGAAAGCGGAAGGAGGAGCAATCATGAGAAGGGGCGGGCTTTGTCACCCGTCAGAGCGCAGGTGGGTCCTCGCACCAAAAAGAATTCGACCCCCTTCCCCTTTCTCCCGTTCTGGGGGGGTGGTCCGGGGAGTGTTGGGGGGGGGGGTCCCGGTCGGCAGGCCGTTGGAAGAGCTTTTTCCCCTGGCCAGGCGGGCATGGAACGCGCTCTCTCCGATTTTTCAGCTGGGTAGGGGGCCACATGCGAACCCTATCCCTGGGGATGGGGTTCACTTCGCTCGGGAGCTCCCGAACGAAGTGAACCCCGCCCTCCCCCCTCAGAAATCGTGGGGGTTGGGGGCAGGGTTCGCATGTGGCCCCCTAATGGGGCAAACTCGCGAAACAGGGCTTGCACTTGGGGGTTGTTACTTCTGTTGGTCGACTGTTATGCTTGATGGTGAAAGAAAAAGTTGCATGGTACATTGGGCATGGTACACTGAGACACTTCAGCGTGAAATAGACACTGCGTGAATACACTACGCAAACACACTACTTACATACACCATGTAAATACGCTACGCAAGCACGCTACGCAAATACACGATGCAAATGCGCTACGCAAATGCACGACATACAGTGGGGGCGCGCATCAAGAAACCATCTACTTTTCGTCAAGGTACCCTGGGTTTCTTCGCTCCGCGCGCTGCGCGGTGACTTCCCGCAGCAGTTGAAGAAGCTGCTGCGTTCAGGATGCTCAGGTTTTCACCTCGCGTGCGGGTTTTCAGGCTTGGCTCTCTTGCAGAGGTCTCCTGCGGCCGCGCCCGCATCGTAGCTTATTTCGCACACTGCGGCGCAGTGTGCGAAAGAAAAAAAAATATTTCGCACACTGCGGCGCAGATCTCGGGCGGGTCCGCCGGGTCCTCCGGCGAAGGGGGCCCCTCCCTTGCGTGCAGTCGGGCCCCCGCCCCGGCCCTCCGCCTGCCACTGGCCGAAGCTTAGTCGCAGGTCTTCAGGTCCCGACTCCTTCAAAAGCTTCCCCCTCCTCCCTATCCTCCCTCCTCGCGCAGCAGCCCATGAACCACATTCACTACCCAACATCCCCGTCGCCATCACGACATCAAATTCATACGTCCTGACATAACTTAACATAACGTAGCATAACATATCACAGCATAACATATCAAACCAGGACATAACATACCATGCATAACATCATTCGCCAACATCCGACATCATATGCCATAACATAACATCACATAACGCTTGCCACGATCTCGAATAAAGAGAAATGTGCCACCCTGAGCGTTCACAAAAACGACCTGCTGAAACAGTAACGTGCAACCGTGGGCGTTCGCGAAAACAACCTGGTGAAACAAGAGTGTGCCATCCTGGGCGCTCGCGAAAACACCACAAAACACAATATCACATCATATAACGTCATATCATAATGTAGTATAGATACAACATGCGTAACATACAAAACATCACAGCCACACACTATAACATCACACGTCCGCTACGGCCAGAACAAGGCCACAATAACATCGGACACGAACATGAGATCCTCCGCGGGCCAAAGTACCCCAAACCATAAGGACGTCGAGGACGCCCTTCCGATGTGTCCCCGACCTTCACTTCCGAGCCAACGTGCGTAAGTACGCATCTGGTTCAGCCCCCAGCCTAAAGCCTTCGACTGCACAGCCTGGACCACGCAACCCCGAAGCCCTGACCCCCCCCCCCCGCCCCCCGAGATCCACGCTGTGTTCCTGTGCCCTGGATCTGCCTCCGCGCGTCCGTCGTCATCCACGAGCGCGCGGTTGCTGGAGGCAGCACGTTGACATCGAGACCGAAGAACATGGAGGGTCTTGTCCGCGCCGCGGACGCGCGAGGCCTGCGACCAGCTTAGTCGGGCTCTAGCAGTGGGCCTCAGCGCCACGTCTCACGCCCTGGCACTCATGCACGCGCGCGAGCTCTCGCCCCGCGGCGCCCCAGGGGGCCTCGCGCGACCTCGCCTGCTCGCCCCAGACTCAAGGCCGCGGCCGCGCGGCCTGGCCCCCGCCACCCTAGGCCCAGCTCCAGGCTGCTGTTGCCCCGCAACAAGAACATGCGAGGGTGTGCGTCTCCGCGCCGCCGTCATCCACGAGCGCGCGGCTGCTGGAGGCGACACACTGACACCGAGACCGAAGAACATGGAGGGTCCTGCCCACGCCGCGGACGCGCGAGGCCTGCGGCCAGCTTAGGGCTCTAGCAGTGGGCCTCAGCGCCACGTCTCACGCCCTGGCACTCATGCACGCGCGCGAGCTCTCGCCCCAACCCCGCGGCGCCCCCAACAACTCTGGGTTCTGCAGCGGCGCAACTCATGGGTTTTGGTGCATGTGTTCCAGGCCAACATGGCGACTCTTCTATTGCCGATAACGCGAAGCTCCGCACGCGCACACGCCGCCGCGCGCGCGGCGGCGCAGGCGCGCGAGAGGAATGTTTGTCTGCGCTGTTGTAGAACGCATGCACCAAAACCCATGTTAACTTCGAAATCCAATCGGCAACCACTAAGGGTTCACTTTGATTTCCCAGGCCAACATGGCAACTTTTCTATTGCTGATAACGCGGGGCGCCCCACGCGCACGCGCCGCCGCGCGCGCGGCGGCGCCGCCGCGCGCGCGGCGGCGCGGGCGCGCGCGAGGGGTTGTTGTATACGCCGTTGCAAGACACGTACACCAGAACCCATGTTGACTTGGAAATCCAATCGGCAACCGCTAGTGGTCCACTTTGATTCTCCAGGCCAACATGGCGCTTCTTCTACTGCTGATAACACTGAGCGCCCCACGCCCCTGCGCCGCCGCGCGAGAAGCGTTTGCATGCGCCGCTGCAGAACACATGGGCTCTGGCGCATGTGTTCAGCAACGGCGCATGCAACCACTTCTCGCGCGCGCCTGCGCCGCCGCGCGCGCGGCGGCGGCGCAGGGGCGTGGGGCGCTCAGTGTTATCAGCAGTAGAAGAAGCGCCATGTTGGCCTGGAGAATCAAAGTGGACCACTAGCGGTTGCCGATTGGATTTCCAAGTCAACATGGGTTCTGGTGTACGTGTCTTGCAACGGCGTATACAACAACCCCTCGCGCGCGCCCGCGCCGCCGCGCGCGCGGCGGCGCGTGCGCGTGGGGCGCCCCGCGTTATCAGCAATAGAAAAGTTGCCATGTTGGCCTGGGAAATCAAAGTGAACCCTTAGTGGTTGCCGATTGGATTTCGAAGTTAACATGGGTTTTGGTGCATGTGTTCTACAACAGCGCAGACAAACACTCCTCGCGCGCGCCTGCGCCGCCGCGCGCGCGGCGGCGTGTGCGCGTGCGGAGCTTCGCGTTATCGGCAATAGAAGAGTCGCCATGTTGGCCTGGAAAATCAAAGTGAACCCTTAGCGGTTGCCACTTGGGTTTCCAAGTTAACATGGTTGCTGGTGCATGTATTCTGCAACAGCGCGCGCAAAACTTCTCGCGCGTTCCTGCGCCGCCGCGCGCGCGGCGGCGCGCGTGCGCGAGAAACGCCGCAGCGCCAGCAATAGGACAGTTGCCGCGTTGACTGGGGAATTCAAAGGGAGCCCTTGGAAGTGGGCAGTTTGATTTCCAAGTTAACATGGGTTTTGGTGCATGTGTTCTGCAGCGGCGCATGCAAACGCTTCTCGCGCGGCGGCGCAGGGGCGTGGTGCGCTCAGTGTTATCAGCAGTAGAAGAAGCGCCATGTTGGCCTGGAGAATCGAAGTGGACCACTAGCGGTTGCCGATTGGATTTCCAAGTCAACATGGGTTCTGGTGTACGTGTCTTGCAACGGCGTATACAACAACCCATCGCGCGCGCCCGCGCCGCCGCGCGCGCGGCGGCGCGTGCGCGTG